ATATTTATAAATTTTATTCTTATCTCGAAGATTTACAAAAAAAAAATTCAAAATAATTATCCATTCCTGGGGAATGCAAAAACCGATTTCTCGGTTTTCGGTTTAAAAGAAAAAAAAAACGATTAACTCTAAATTAAAAAAAAAAACAAAAAATCATTAACCAAATTTAATAAACCGATTTTTAGAAACAGCGATCTTATTTGTACATCCCTACTGCAGGGTACATGCCATTTCTCAGCTAGAAATGTATCAAAAAAATTTCTGCAGAGATTATATACGTACGTATATGTTTTATTCATTCATATATAATCAATTTGCACACACATTGTAAGGATGTAGGTTATGATTTTAAACAGATTACGATTTTATTTAACTGAAACGGTTAAAGCAATATTCAATCAAAGCTGTCCATAAATTTAACTACTATTACTCGCACATATGTACATATGTATGTACATATTCTAATTCGAAATATGTTTATGGTGGTGATAAGCTGCCGCTTGTTCCTCTGCACTATTGACGTACTTCCTTACCTGTTTGCTTATTGAAAAATCTTTACATGTACATACATATTTATGGATACCTACTTGAGTTTAATTGTCATTGCATGGTGCGCTAGTTTACAGTATGGTGCAAAAATGAGCCAGTGCGTATGGAGACTGAGAAAAGACAAATTAAAAAGAATTTGTTCGGTTAATCGAAATATGGTTTATACCCTCTTATATTTCAATTCGTTGGTGTTAAATAGCGAATAAAATTTAACCGATTATAAGTCTAAACAAAGAAAAATGGGCATTTAACTAAAAAATAGCATTAGCTCATTTTTGCACCAAGCCGAAAAATTATGGGCTTGTTCGAGTTGTAATCACAACCGCAGTCTCGCCCGAATTATTAAAGTATCGCGTTCTGTGTGAATTTCTAGCAAAGTATTATCAGTTGGACAATTGCAACAATGTTGCAATTTTTCATCAGTACGGCAGTAATGCCGCTTTTATTACGTGCCTCGTACAATATTGATATTGTAATCTGCAATAACATAAGACATTATTTCTTGTGCCGAGAAAAGCCACCTTGGGCCACCGTAACGGCCGATTATGTTCTCTGCACGTATTTTTGGACGGTGGCGTAAATAAATAATACCAGAGTATAGAGCATCTCAAACAAACGCTTTTCCGTTAATAGACCAAAATACCGCAGAGCCACTTGTGGGCTGCGTGGTATGCCTTAGTTGACCGATTAAAGGCCATAATTCAGGCCAAGGCTGGCCAAACCGGAATCCGCTCATGCAGTTTTTAAGATAATTCATTTGTTAACAAAATTCATTCATAAATTTGCCGTCACTTTTATTTGGAAACATTAATTTCCGTACGCTCTACATAGTTAGTTAGTTAGTAAGTTAATTTACTGGGTGTAATAGAACAGAGACACCGCGACCTAAAAGATCTTTTGTATCTCTATAAAGGAGTCCCTAACCCAATGTGGCCAAGATACCTTCGGCTTCCCTTATGAGTCCTAAAAGGGCCTTGGTAGACGAATTCCTTATAACAAAGGCTTCGACCAACGAAGATTTAAAGTAAATCAGTCTTTGTCTGGCTAAAGCCGGACAGTTACAGAGAATATGCTCCGAAGTTTCATCGGCCTCGAGGCAGAGCCGGAATGCCGCCCCTATTCGGTGTAAGAGGAACCGCAATTGGTTGTGACCAGTCAGATACCAAGAAAGTAACCTGATGTCAATTCTGTTTTATAGGACGATGTCGTTCCTGTTAAAGGGGTAGCCGAATAGCCTGGCCTGTTTAAGGCCCCCCACCGCTCCCCAGTACTTACCGCGTTCTGAGTGTACCCACTCAGTGATTATGGCTCTCGAAGAGGACCAACTAGACCACAGAATGGTTCGGGTCCCGAAAAGGCAGTAAGCGATCCTTCACGTGCCAACTCATCAGCGATCTCGTTGCCTTCGATTACAGAATAGCCTGGTACCTAGCACAATGTTACCGTGTTTTTGGCCGCCAAAAACTGTAGCGTGTTAAAGCAGTCTCTAACCAACTTAGATTTGATAGTCCTGTTTGAAAGGGCCCGGATGGCTGCTTGGCTATCTGAAAAGATAACTAAAAAAGCGCCCTTTAAACCCTTTTCAAGGTTTAATTTTGCGCAGTTTAAGATTGCGACTATTTCAGCCTGAAACACCGTGGGCCATTTTCCCATAGGAATTGTAAGTTTGGTGCTAGGTCCAAAGATGCCTGCACCCGCTCTGTCCGCCATCCTTGATCCATCTGTGTACTAGTGTACATATCTGCGATCAAGGGCAGAGAGCCCATTTGCCCAATCTTCGCGATCGGGGATTATCACTTGGAATTTTCTGCCAAAGCAGACCTCCTTAGGCATGGAATCAGATTCCGCATATATCCAACGCTGGTATCTTCCCAAGAATACCTGCATGAGGCTTCTTTACGAAGAAGCCGTCGTTAGATAGTCGAAGTTGCAGTTCCCTCGTGGCTGCTGATTCCTGAATAAATATATGGAGAGGATTCCATCCCAGGAGCGACTCTAGAGCCGCAGTTGGACACGTTCTTATAGATCCTGTGACGGATGGACATGCCAATCTTTGCAGCTTGTTAAGGCGAAGTATGACAGTTTTTTGCATTGTCTTCTGCCACCACGTTAATCATGCATAGGACCCTCTACATAAGTATTAGTCAATTCAAAAATTTAAAATCAATAACGATTGAGATATAAGTATGTAGATATTGGCAATGAAATATCAATTGCATTAACTAATAATCGTTTAAAAACGTTAATATGGGATAGTAATAAGACTGGTCAACAGTGGTTTTAGTGCCAAGGAGCTGTGTTTTTTTTTTTAACTTAGGAACCTAAACTGTGCTTAGACCAACAAATTTTATCGGTCTATAAGAAAAACATACGTGAGTGCGAAGAGCTTGAAATGCTGGCCGACAGGAAAAATGCCCGACATTTTTACCAGAGAGTTAGGCGATTTACGAAAGGTTTCAAGACCAGGGCGTACTCCTGTAAGTACAACAATGGCGACCTAGTTACCGATGTTCAGAACGTACTTCAATTATGATGTTGGATAAGATAATAAGAGCTGCAGAACTGAACCACTCAGGAACTATTTACTACAACAGCTGGCTTTATGCCGATGACATCGACATCATCGGTAACAAAAACTGCGAACTCTATTATGCCTTTTCCAAGTTGGATAAGGAAGCAAAGCGAATGGGTCTGGTGGTAAGCGAGGACAAGACGAAGTATGCCAAGCTTTTTTCTTTTAATCTAGAAGCCAATATTTCTTGAATTAGATAATTAGAGATCCCTTGTAAAATAATTTAATGTGTACCAAAATGCTCAGAATGAAGAGAGAAGTCGATGTGCACGATAACTCAGGCAAAAATAGATATATATGTCAACAAAATTTGATATACGGGTATTCCCAATCTGGCATTACGTGACACTTGTTAAACAAATTGAAAAAGTCAAAGTTTTAAAAAGGTTTTTTTTTTTTGTAGATTTGCATAGCAATTAAATGGCCCCTTATTCGGTAAAAAAAAATTACCACTGTTGGTAGTAGCGATTAAGAGACATTAGTAAACAGTACCAGGTTGACCCAACTTTGTCCGGAGTGCATATACTATTTAAAGTTTTCAAGATGTGGATAGCTTTAAAAAAGTACTTTGAAAAAAAATGCATTTCGATATCTATTAAGTAAATTTCTTACTCCAAATTTTATTTGGCAGCCATATTCCAAAATACGCTGGAGTGAGTGGTACATATCTTCAGCGTATATGCACTGGGTATACACAAAAAAATGCTGATTGAAATTAACAAAATAAAATTACGTATTACATAGAAGCGTGTCAATCCAGATGGAAAATATTTTCAGACCAAAGTTCTCAACAAAACTTTTCATTTGGTATCCATATTGCGATGTTTTAGATAAATTATGTAGAATCGAAAATAAGTGGCAACTTTACACTATTATCCTAAGGGATAACATTTTGTATATAGGGAAAGCACTCTCTAGGTACCCAGGAATAGTAAAATTTTCCCTTTTTTTTTAAACAAAAAATAAAATAAATATACGATTCAAAATAGGTACTAACCCTATTAAAAATATTTTTGAATTAGAGATTTCAACGTGTTTGCAAACTGATCGAAGGTTGACAGAAATGTTCATGTCTTTCAAATTAATTTTAAATAATAAAAATAATAATGAAAGATCTGGCATCTTCCTATTATTATTTTTCTTTTTCGTCTCAAAACATTAAAAGAGCATATTTCAAACATCGTTTTTAAAAAAGATTTTGTGAATTTGCGGAGGTTGCGGTTTTATCGGGAGTGTCGGGAAAGGATTTTGGTCCCGTTCCGCCCGCCATATTTTTACAGATCTTCGTGCAGATGATGAGTACTATTTCAACATGCTACAATGTTCGGAGCGAAATCGGTTCAAAGTAAGGAGGGTTTATTGGGGCTAAAATTTAAAAAGCTGTTGGATGTTCTTCGGATTAATGTCGCTTAATACCTGGTAGTTTAGAACAGAATCTTTTTGTTGAGCATGATCTTATGCTCGCTGCTTAACTGGGATCATAAGGGCTTCACTGTGTATATAATGTTTTGGCTGGACTGTCGCCAAAAGCAGAATTTTGACAAATCTGACTCTTCCTCGACTGCGTCCTACTTGTCGTTGGCGGTCGCTAAGGCCTAGCATAATTTAAATCTGGCCCATCGACCAGTTGAAAAACCGCCTAAAACGCCGTTGTGGCAAAAATTAGACTTTGTGGCCCTGAACTTCAGGCATTGAGATTTATGCATAAAAATCGTTATTGAACCAGCAGATTTGTAAAATAATAGCTGGAGAAAATACCGCCTATCGAGGCAATGCCTTCAAAGAAAAACTGTTTTTCTCCCCCTCCTGTAAAATTTGAGTGGATCGACGATATACATACTTATGTATACATTTATACTAAATACTTGTTCTTTTTTAGGTTCTCATTATGATCTACTATACGTCAGCGTTTCCAGCTGTTCTACGATCCCTTGCCCAATGTCGCGTGGTTCGACGGTAACAGTAAAAGTGATTTTTGATGATAACGGTAAGTATTATTACTAATTTTTTCTCGTCTGGGACATGTTTGATTTGAATTTTTTGTTTTTTATGTCGTTCTGCGCAATTTTTAATGAAATCTTCACTAAATTTTTATATATAATTTCAGTTTAATTTTCATATGTAAAGAAAAGGATGTGAAATATTTTGTTCGATTAGTAATAGAAATAAAACATGAATAATAACTATAAATAAATTACTCACGCCGAAGGTAACCGCAATAGGGTGCGTTCAGAATTGCATCAAGCCAAAGCATCAGTCTCTTTTATTTCTAAACTATAATTGATAGAAATGTCAAATATGCGTAACCACGGATATAAGCCGAATTGGAACTAAGTTGCGTAAATAAAACATTTCCATTAATTATAGTTTAGAAATAAAAGATACTGATGCTTTGGCTTGATGCATTTCTGAACGCACCCATGATGAAATCCATCACAGCAATCAAAAAGCGAATTTTGAATTTTTTTTTAGTTGCGACTTTTTTGTATTTCAGTGACGATGATGATACGTTATTTTGCATTTCAGGTGACGATATAATAATGTAGATCATGTTTTTGATTTTCGTCAGTTTTTGAAGGAGTTAACAATAAAAATTATTAATACTCAGCACTATATGTACATACATACATATGTACATATGAATATTTTGAACACTCACTATAAAATGTATACGTGCAAAATTTCCGCTTAATATACATATGTACAAGAAAAACTGCAGTAATACTGTAGCAGTACTGCTAATTTGAAGAAAGAAAACGCGAATAAATAATTGCTTTAATGAAATTTATTAGCTAATTAATTTTAAAAAATATTTTCTTAATTGCGAGATTAAGTTCAAAATCATGCTCCAGTTAAGACTTTGTGGGCGGCAGGAGTTTGCGGCAGTAGTGCAGATTTATTGCAATATCAAACACTTTATGTGCATATTTTTTTCCTACAGATGCGAAACTACCTCCACGAAAGCTATAAAATAAACCAATATTTATTATTTTGCAGAAGAGGATGTAGCATTTCTAAAACATAAGGTACGTTGGATCTTCAACGCAGTCAAAACAGATGCTGCTATCACTCCAGAGTCTTGCGACGACAACGATAATTGTTTAATTGACGAAAGCAATGGAAAGTCTTATATTGCTGAAGTTTTCGTGAACAATACTCTCCCCAATGTATGAAAAGTTTGTTATTTAATCGTTATGAAAGTGATCAATTCGGTTATTTATTAAATTTTTAAGCTTCGTGCGTCATTTCATTGATGATATATATACTACAATTTCATAATATTTTATGTACATATCGAACGCTGAGTGGAAGATCGACCTATCTCGGCAAATTTTCATTAAAACTTCGAACTTTTTATTGTATTTACAAACTTCTGCGATTCTGTCGGTGCGAATCGGTTTCTACGATAATTTCTAAAATGCTGTTCATAGTTATAAATTGTGCGATTTTCCTAATAAACTGCCGATTTGTGAGAACTAGAAAGGTTTAAAGATGGGTTTTGTAAAATTAAAACAAAAATTAACGTAATACTACGTTCAAGTTGACGAGTTAAACATGTACAAGTAATTTTTAGCAAAAAAAAAAAACTGGCTTAAAAAATATTCCGACGAATGTTTATTCCAAAAAATTTAAAACTGAAAAATTATCAAAAAATATGAAAATTGTATGCATGTCTGTCCGCCAAAAAGGAGGTCAATGCGATCCTTAGTTATTTCCTATGCCCTATCGTCCGCAGAAATAAATAGTGCATACGAATTAAATATTTTGAAGTCTTTCAGAAAACCGTTTGCGTTAATATTTTGCACAAATCAAATTGAAAAACAAAAAATTTATTGCGAATATTTTTTTTAAATTATTATTTGTAATTTTTAGTACCGGTTACCTATATCGAGGAGAGCGACGTCTTTTATGGTTATTTTAAAAATTAAATCTCTTTTGTACCGGTTACCTATTTCGAAAACGTCGAGTTCCTAGTACCGGTTACTAATTTCGTAAAAGGCAGAGTGTTTGCACCCATTTTTTAAATGCATAAAGCAAGGGTGGCCATTTCATAGGCACGCCTGCCAAATTTTTCTCTTCTGCTTTCACACGTACACGAGAAAAACTGCGCTGCTTTCACACATTTTTTGAATTCACAGGACGAATAGGTAATTTTTAAGCTGACAACGAAAGCTGAGAACGAAATTCGAGGATGTTATCGAGTTAACATATAATTTTTTCAAAAACAAATATTGCGAAATTTCAAGGATAAAATTTTAAAATGACATTTTCAATATTTACCAGCCCTTCTGCACCAGCAACTTGAATCTGTTTAAATTCTACAGGCTTTCCTCATTAATTTTATACCCATACTTCTTCTCTAAGCACATTTCTCTAAATTTTTTAAATCATTTTTAAATTACTGACGTCAGAGTGAAAAACTAAAAACGCAATTTTACTATATTTGGCCCATGGTTTCGAGAATATATTGATATTTGTGTATAAAATTTACTATCGCGCGGTGTTATATATATAATGAGCTACACATTTATAAAAAAAAAATATTAATTATTAAAAAAAAAAAAAATATAACCAATACTGGCCAAGAAAAGAAGTTTCTATTATTGCCATCAGTGCAAATTACAAATCCCGAAAATAGCGGAGTTTCTTGCCACCTGCCAAAATATGTGAAAACGCACTTTCGAAGAAAGTGTTGGTTAGTGCCTTTGCGAATTAAGGTAACGGTATGATTTAAGGGCAATTAATGTCATATCGTGGATCACTTTCATAATTGAGTTTGTAAATAATAATTTGCTGAAACAAAATATTTATTGTTTTCCAGATACGTGGCACGATGACTTGGATGGCTGTAAACCAAAATAATCTTGAAGTAATTTGCTTTAAAATACCAGTTGTTATTATGTAAATACCAAATAAATAAATTCAAAATTTGTGTAATCTGAAATATATGTACATATGTATCGATTTACTTATATGTATTTATGCCATTGATGTGCATATATTTCATTATGTATTTACGTGCATGTATTTTCTTTATGTTTATTTATAGTTGCTTCCTCCGTAAATAATGGTAATAAATATTCTCTTAAATTTAAAACCATCGGAACTGTGACGTTTCGTTTCGTTTCGTTTCAGAAAATCCGTACCACTTACCGTTCGAACTTTAAAACTGAGGGAATTGTTAACAAAAAAGTTAACACTTAAGCAAAATTTCAAGTAACGTTATCGCAAAA